TTCCCTCCTTGTGTGTGTGTTTTCATTTCCCTTCTTAAACCCTGTAACATCTTGCCTTTTTCTTTTTAATGTTCTTTGATCACTAGTCAGGAAGTACTTTGAAATGAGAGGACTTTATTTTCATCCTGCTGTACTGTTACACATGACAGAGGGTAAAAGATTTATACTGTGTAAACTTGTTAGATATTTGACAGCGTGGCCTTATTGAGGTTATTTTATTATATAAAACAGAGCAGGGAGGGGTGAAGGTGTAGGTGGAGTCTTGTCGTTTACACTGCTCCTTCTGTCTTGCACAGTAGAGATTTGGAGACTTAGTTTTGAGAACTCCCTTGTGATGAGGAGAAGAGGGGTTAGCCAGAATGGGGATGCATTTGCTTACCTCTGCTGTCAGATGTTAATCAGATTTTTTAAAAAATCACATGATCACTTGCTGAGTTTTTATCAAAGTGCAATACATTTAAATTGCATGAGATTATGCAGAAGGGAACATAGCTTTGAAAAATGATATTTGATATGTCACAAGTGTTACTCTAATTCTTCATAGAAATTAACATGTCATTGCTTTCTTAATCTCTCTTCTGTTATGCTTTCTTGGCAGTTATGTTATAAACAGGCCCAGTGCAAATTGCAGTGTTAATGGATCTGCTGGTTAGATGTTTAAAAAATAAAGAAATCATAGTGTGGGAAAATGCCCAAATATAGTGGAAGAGTAGTATCTCCTGTTCCCATCCTGTGGTGCATGAGGGAAGGACAGATGCTTTTCACTTTTAGCTTTTCAAAAAAAAAAAAAAAAGAAAAAACAAAAAGAAAACCCCATCAAGATTGCTAGTTTTCCTCTCCCCAACCTTGTGCACTTGGAGGGGCATTTTGTTTTCTTGCCAAGTGTTACTCTACAGGCATAAATAGAATAGAGTTTGGGACAAGTCAGTACTTCTGGGGAAGAAGTGTTAGTAGTGTTGACGTTGCAGAGTGGAGCATGTCACAGCAATGCCTGAACCAGCTTGAGGACCAGGAACAAGTTTGATGTCTGCCTTCCTGGTGTTGGACTTGAACTCATTAGAGACAGAGCTTGCTTGGGGCTCTCCACTAATAGGGACCACATAGCTCTTGGTGTCCCAATTGGCACATCTTTTCTCCCATACTCTGGGATGAAATAGCCTGGTTCATATCTTTTGCATCCAGATTACATACACTGTAGCCTAGTAATAGAAACACATGGTGGTGATTTTTGCAGCAGTACAGTTGAAATGCTTTAGTAAAGTATGTCCTGAAGGAGTGCTCTTTGAAGTGGCACGAAGGAGACTGTTACATGAAAATGGATGTGACATAAATTGGAGATATGACAGAAGAGATACAGGACGGAATTTGAAAATGACAAGTAATTTGAAGGCAGCTAAAAGAAATACTTGCATATTAATGAAAATAGAATGAAATAAACATTGGAAGCATTGAGTAAATTGTACCTTTACAGTCACTTAGGTAGATGTTTGTAAAGGATAAGATAACTTCATTTTAGACCGTTCGTGGCATCTGATGTACTTCTTAGGGAAAGGTTACAGAAGCAGCTGCTCTAAGTTATTTTGGTTCTACTGAGAATAATTATTTGCTGGAGGAATAATGTTAAGAAGTCTGTGCCAACCTCCCTCTCCACCCAAAAACGATCTGTTAAGTGAATTCTATCTGGTTAATCACTAGCCATTAGACACTTAAAAGCGTTATCAACTGTAGCTGGGTGTGACTGAATGTAATGCTTTGATCAGGAAAGAAACTGATAGTGGTAACTTACCTCTTGGTTTCAGTCATCAGCTGGATATGATGCCTTCCAGTACTTGAGCAGATGCTTGTTCGCTTTGGATTTCATCATGTGCTGTACATCTTTTTGTTGTGTTTTCAGTGTTAATTTAACACATTTACATTGGGACTGGGAGAAAAAGAGAGAGAAGGGAAGAATCTTCCATGTGGGAAAACTTGGTGTCTGGCTCAGGTCGCTTGCTTTCTTTCCTTCCAGTGCCTTGAGAAACAGAGCTTACACGTTGGAGTAGGCAAGGTGCTAGGGTTTTGCTACTGTTTCAGAAATCTATGGACTTCATAGACCTATGGACCTACACGACCTTTTTATGTTCCCACTATGCTGAATGGGGCTGACACTTGCTTGAAATGTTTAATGAATTATGCTGTATGTTTGCAAAAGCACTCCAGTGTTTTCTCATGAAGGGTAATAAATAACACTTACTTTGTGTATGCTAAGAAAGTGATTTCTCATGTGCAAGATCAGGATTTTCTTCTGTGTAATGCATTGTGCAATAAGCTAATTACAACAGGACTGTTTATTATTCCTCTTTATGAAGCAAGGCAGTGCTTGGAGGCAGAATACCAGACGTGATAGACAGCTGGGCTGATTTGCTGTGTCTAATTCTGTGTTTCCACAATAGAAATGGCCTTTGCATTTTAAAAGCTGAATGTTGGTTATGGCTGTTTAGGCAAAATGATTTGAATGTGTGTTTCTTTTTTGTGTTCTGTTTTTAAATCTGAATTTGATCGTGTGTCTCTGATGGATAACTGAATCAGCTAAACAGCTGGTAATATAAATGAGACTATACATTTCAGCGAAAAAATCTCCCACTTCCTTCAGCAGCTTAGGAGAAGAAAAAGGTAGGGGACGAGATATGTTTTTACACCTTCTAAGATAACAAAGTAGCTGGAAGAAGAGCCAGGTTTCTATGAGCAGTCAACTTTCTCCAGATTAACAAGGGTCAGACATCTATATTATGATAATAGTCAGTGACAGTATTTACCGTTTTCCTTAAATAATTCTGTTTTTTCCTTTCATGCTTTTTAGCACATGAGTAATAAACCTTTAGCTATTTAGTAAACCTGAAAGTCAGTGTAAATTATAGGGTAAATCAAGAGCTCCCATAGAGAATGAATGCAAATTACCCAATCTTGGTAAACTGCATCATTTTCATCATTAGGTACAAAGAATTAAATTATAATTGTCCCATAAATGAATGGTATTATGTACAAATATATAAATGTGTAGCCATACATATAGGATGTCTTTAGGTGCTTCTTCCACGCTGAGCGTTTGATGATAAATCTGTTAGCATTTATGGTTTTGTTTTAAGGGGATGGGAGGAGTCCTGTCACTTGGAATTACTTGGCTCTATAGCAGGGCACGTATGTACTGCTGCTGGAGCTAAAGGGTTTTGTGCTGTCTGTCGGCTTATAGCTGATTTGGGGGGGTGGGCAGGGGATATTAACCAAAAGGATTTCACTGTCATCTCTGAAGCTGGTAAGGAGAAGTATTTTGCCCATGTTTGGCAGTTTGAAGACCGTATTTTATTTTTAGAATGGTTTTTTTGAGGAAAGTTCTAGTGCAATACAGAGAAAATCGCCTCAAAGACACCACACGTGTGTTCCTGCAGCCTGATAGCTCAAGTCTCAGGTCTAGTTGGCTGGACTTGTGCTCCGGGCACTGGAGACAAAAGGGTGGCCTGTGTCTGTGGTCTGCTCACCTGAGGCTGCAACAGCCAGGGGGCTGCAGCTGGGCAGCCTGAAGAAGCACTGAGTTGCCCAGGGTACAGTCCAGCAGAGGCTGGTACCACCAGGTGTGCTGGTCCGCTTATGGTGGCCTTTCCCTGGTCAACTCTACTGTCCATGGTAATTTCCCAAGCTGGCCCTTAGCTTGGCTGACCGGGCTTCTCCTGGAAAGGATGGTCTTGCATAATTTATTCTCAGTGGCCTGAGGTATCAGGTAAACCAGAGTTGAATTATTCATACAACTTCATTAAAATGCAGTTGAAACAGGAGCTTGCGGAGCTTGCTTTTAAAATAAAGGTAGAACTTTCAGTAGGTACGTTTTTGATAATGCTTTTCTTTTGTGCTTTGTTTTTTGACAATCTGCCATTTTATTGTTTGGATACAAATTACTCAAATGCTTATTTGAAGTTTACATATTAGACAAGCCTGCTTATTTAAAAAAAACAAACCAAAACACCATGATGTCCTGATAAATGTAGTCTCAGGAGCATTCTCAGTTGGCTGTGTGCAAAGTCAAGTATGAGAGGTCAAAAAGAGATGCTGTAAATCTTCTTTGTTGTTTCTGCACCATCCAGCATGATGCTTTTGATTCTCTTGTCTCTTCTCTTTCCTCTAAGTCAATCACAGAGGAGCAATGGTGGGGGGGAAAGCAGGGGGAGAGGCTTTAGGAGTGTGTTTGCTGTGCCTCTTCCTTCTGGGAGTCAGCACTCCAGTAACTCTCAGGCCTCCTGGTTTGATCTTGCAGACCGTTGTCCTTCCAGGAAGAGCAGGCATTACTGAGGGGTAGATTCCCTATAGGATTATAGGAAGGATTGCATTTGTTGTTGCAATGGACTCTGTTCTCAAGTGCATAAGCGTTTTTATTTGTTTACTTCCCTAACAATAAAAGATAATTTATTTTAAAAGATGATTTTCTGGGATTAGGCATCTGGTAAGTGACTCCACTCACTAGTTGTATAGTGTTTTGATTCTCTGTTTCAGCCAGACTGAGTGTAATGTCCCACCTCTGATATGTCCAGCCTTTGATTGGTTACTTGCTTTTACCAAGTTCATTAAATTTATATTAAAACTTAATACTACCTTTGTTTAAAAGTATGTGTAGCTTTTGGAAATACATGTTGTGTTTGGGTTTTTTTTTTGTTTTGTTTGGTTTTTTTTCTTAATTACAGTCTATAATAACATTTTGGTGGGTTTTTTGGTTGGGTATTTTTTTTTTTTTAAAAGGCAATTTTGGAAAAGCTAATTGTATTAACTAACTTTCTGGTTCCAGGAAAAATAATTTTTCTCCTTGCCTTCAATGAGGGTAGTGTTTCATTCATTGTGAATATATGAACATTTTTGATTCTTTACCAATAATGTCAAGCACAAGTATGTACCTTGCTCAGTGAAGCACTATTTTTGCTGTATCTTATGATAAATATTTCAAAGCAGTTTGTTTGACCTCTAGTGTTGAGCTATGAAATTGCACTCCATTGACACGAAAATATCTTACATTTCAGAAAAACCGGTCTCCCCCAAATCAGGTACATTGAAGAGTCCACCTAAAGGCTTTGATACGTCTGCAATTAACAAAAGCTATTACAATGTGGTGAGTGATCCTTTTTCCTCCATGTGAGCTGTTATATACAGTAGAATATAATTTAACCAAATGCTCTTATCTGCCTTAAAAATATGGCAGTCTTGTCAGAGCCTTAGTGCAAAAACTAGATAGGGGTTTTAGTGAATTCTCATATAAACAAAGATCATTGTTAGTTTAATAGAAATATTGCACATACAAATTCTTAAGCATGATGAAAAATTATGGTCTACAGTAAGTGAATAATAGGCATTTCTGTAATATATTATGCTCACTTTATTTCCTTTGCTAGTTTTTTAACGTGCCTTTTCTCCCCCATCCCCAAATATGCAGTCTTCCCCAGTGTCTATGAATTAATGAAATTCTGCTGTGTTAAAACAATTAAGAATATTTCTGTCCTTTTTGTTGAACAAGAGACTGAACATTTTGAGTGAATTTGCCTCCTTTTTTTTTCATGCTTATAAATCAACTCGAGTATTTACTTTGGGAACCTCTCCGTTATGCTGATGGACAGATTTCACAGTAAAAGTGGTATAGCCAGAGTCAGCCTTTAACAACCCCCCCCCTAGGAATTATTAACTTAGTACTAAGACAGATTTAGTAGATACATGTAAAAACCATACCAAATTCTGTCTTTAAATGTGTTATTGTAACCATTTTGAGAATCCGTTATTTACTGACAGTTTGTACATTGGGAAGCAAAAAGCTTCTGGTTTTGGCAACCACTGCTCCCTGCTGGTGTAAACCCAAAACACAAGGTCTCTTTCCCTCTTCTTTGAAGCAGCTGTCATTGTTTTTCACTTTATTTGTCAGTTTTTAGCAGGGATCGTACAGCATGATTTTATGCTTTCATCCTTTGCGGTTGTGGCATGAGTAACACCAACCACCTGGAAGAACAGAGCAGTTTTACATGTAGTTCCCTTATTGAGAACAATGAAGCAACCTCCTGCTCCTCCCCGTGGCTCTCCTGCTCCTCTGTCAGTAGCTGAAATTCCATGGTTGAAGGGAGGGCTGTGAGTCTTTGGCTATTGTATCCCACACCTGCTGGCCATGACTGAAAGCACCTATGCAGGCATGCCTTCCTTTAAACTGCAGGGAGTCGTGTTCTTACTATGGTACATTCAGCCACAAAATATTGGATAGTTTTCCTTTTTATTTTTGTTTTTCACTAGATCTCTTTATAGTAATTTAAAAAAAAAAAATTGAAGTTGCTGTAGTGCATAGTAGCAAAATACGTCTTCTCTACTGTTGTTTTGATGTTAAAACCTATGTTTTTCAAGAAGATAAACAGAAGTGAATGCAACAAAGAGACGATTTAGCTCCTTCACTAGGGAGAAAACTGCTGTTGCTTAAGTTTAATTTATATCTATGTTGAATTTTTAGTAAAAATAAAATGAATTGGATCTTGTGGTTGCGTATTTTGCTTTGTAAGAGTAATACATACCATTTTTGGGGGTAATAGTGTACTTTGGTGAAAATAATAAGAAGTAAATGTTTGAATTTGCCTAAAACCATAGTTAAGGTAGCTATGTTGAAAAAACACCATGCAATTTTGAGGTACCACCTTTGGCTTATGTAGTTTTTATAATTGTTCCCTGAGTAGCATATTATCATAATCATGGAGATTCAGGCTACTGTATACTTTGGGAAACAGGTAGCCATAGCTGGCTTTTAAAGTAGTTTAATTATTTATTTTTTTTAAGTGAAAGTGGTGACCATCGTACCTACCCTTGGAATTGGGTTGTGCTGTGCTCAAAGCCTAAATTAGATTAGGCGGCACCTAGATTTTTCTTGAAACATACAAAGTTCCTCTGGCATTATAACTACAAAATGATTTTTAATAATTATTAAATACGTATTGATTTTTACATGTAGATAAGACAAACAGCAAACGCATTCGCTGAAGTGAAAGCAGCTTAACCTGTGAGTTGTTTTTGTTCTGTCTTTACACATAAGCTGCAGACACGGGACTTCCCTGTGCTAGAAGCGTTATCTTCAGTCCACACTGATAAGTAAATTGAGTCCATATTAAGGTGAAAACAGAACAGCTCCAAATAAACCTTTGGCAACTGGTAGCTGAAAGAACGTAGCTCAAGTTAAAATCTGTGTTAAAGGCTTCCTTGACAACCCGGCATCGTTTGAGGCTGGTGCTCTGGGGCTGCTTGCTGTCTTTAAGTTGTGGCTGTCTTCCACCAGTTGGGTGTGTGCTGAGACCCTGTAAACCTCCTGATTACTTAGAGCTGCTCTTCCCAGGGAGGGATATACGCCGGTGCAGGCAGCACCTGTGGGGTACATTCACTGGACTGGGGACAAGAATGAAAGGGCAGTTCAGAGGAAGTCCAGAAAGTGGTCGGAGAGGCTCTGCTGATGTCCCTTTCTGGGAGAAGGGCTGGGATAGGCTAAGGGAAGGGCTTTTCATGTCAAGAGGAGACAGCTTTCCCCGCTTTCCTCTGTTTTTCACCCCCTTGTAAACGTGTTCTTTATTTTTATGGACTTGCAGAGCTCCACCTGAACTTCGTAACACAAATCACAGAGTTTCTAGTCTCAGTGTGCTTTATTAGCTGCACCTTGCACTAGGTGTTGCTGAGAAGGCAGAGTGCGTTTGGTGTATGCTTACATTTTTGCCTGGCTTGGGAATGCAGGTTACTAAAGAATCATAGAATAGTTTGGGTTGGAAGGGAGCTTTAAAGGTCATCTAGTCCAACTTCCCCTGCAATGAGCAGAGACATCTTCAACTAGAGCGACTGGTGCTACAAGGTCTTGTCCTCCATAAAATATTACCAGTCTCCAGCAGTGTGTAATATGAACCAGACTCCTGATCAAGTACTATGCATTTTTCATGCAGAAGTAATTTAGTAACCTGTTCCTGAGGAAGCAGGCATAGTGTTGCAGGTTTATTCCCTGAAGACAGAGCAGGCGTTACTGAGTTTTATTTTTACTTGTTAATAATCCCTTGAATTTAAAATTTAGCGTCCAAAATAAAATTAGGTTATCTCCACTTGCAGGACAATTGCCTTGAGATTAAGTAGCTATTCTGAAAGCAGGTAAAGAAATGGACAACTTTCTCCACAGTATGAGTATTTGCATGATCTCATTTTTCATTTAAGTGTTTGTAAAGTGATAGAAAACAAGCACTTCTTGCAAGGCCACGCTTTGGAAGTTCGGTCAAGAGTTTGTGTTTACTGAAGTTCATGAAAATTGAGAGCCCTTGAGATGTGGTATACTTGTGGAAGGCCTGTTTTAAGGGGTTCATCTCTCAAATTCTTGTGATGCAGGGAAATTAGACATTGATCACCGTTTGGCTGAAGTACGTGATATTTCAGTTGAGTGCCCTACTACTCACGTGAAATGGGAGTGGGCTATGGGATTGTGCCCCAGTGTAGCTCTGAAATCTGCCTTTGCTCCCTCTGATTCAAAAGTCCTTTAAAATCCATTTTGGGGTGGTGGTTTTTTGCCTTGGGGAGATGGCCGGCGTTGTGTGTGACGGACTTGTTAACCGTGCTTGAATTTTCCATGCCGTGTGATTGAGGGAGCTTGTGCTGTGTGAGCTCAGTTGTCTGTGCCTGCTATTCATCAGCGTGAGGGGGGATTGCAAAAGCTGCCACTTCAATGCTGCTCTTGTGGTACCCGGGCTTATCTGTGCAAATGTTGTGGTGGAGTTGTGCAAACAAGGTCCTGGAGGTCTCATGGGGTCTTGCAGCAGCCAGAACGCGCAGAAAGCGGGAAAGAGAAGAAAGGTGATTATTAGAGCACGCGGGCGAGATGTGGATGTGAGGAATGTAAGGGGTGCTCTGGTGCCAAAATACTGAGTGGCAGTGCTGACTGCTTACCGCTTCCGTCCCAGTGCTTAGTCCTCATAGCTGCTCCGGGAGGTAGGTAAGTCAAGCTGGAAGGATCTGAGGCTTCACAGAACGGATGTTTTACAGCTGTGTAGGCAAGACTAGTCTTTTTAAAAGATATCATTCTTTCATTCTGAATATATGCAGTGCAAATTGCACAAAAAAAATAAAGGGGAGGGGATAGGTTTAATGTGTTTTGGGAAGTGTTTAAAACTATGTATATCTGAAGTATTGTGTAACACTGTGAAATAACTAGAAAAACATAAAGCAGTGTAAGTGTATCTAGTACTCTGCATAGGTTTTGTAGCGTAGTTTTATTTACAGTTGCATTTATTTTCCTTCTCCCAGTAATTTATCATGTTGACAGTTCTAGTTTTTAAGCTTTCCCATTCTTTTTTCTTCTTCTCTCCTTTAAGTCTTTTTCCTCCAATCCCGTGTTTTCCGTATTGGAAAGAAAATCCTCAAATAGAAATCCAACGCAGCACATAAAAATAATAGGAGTTGTGTCTGATGTGAAACTAGTTTTATTTCAAGCTGTTCAGACAAAGAAAGGAAACAGCAAAGAATGGAAATACTCTGAGAAAGTGGAGCAGTGGTGCAGCTTTTCAAGATTTCTAGTGAATTTGTTGTTTTTTATCTTTGTCTTTTAAGGTTTTTCAGTGCTTCATCAGGACACTGTGTTTTTGACCTTGACTTCCAGTTGCCTTTTCCCTGCCAATAGCTGTGTAATGACTTTGGGCTGGGATTTTTTCATAGGAAAAGCCGTATTGGAAAAGATTGTTCTTGCATTTAGTTTTGAACCGAATGAATCCTATGTATATTTAGCAATTGACTTTGTTTTACATTATATGTAAGAGAATATGAGGTTTAATTAGTGATGTGATCAATAGAAATTTTTTCTTTTTTTTTTCCCCCTTGGTCTAAGTGGTCAAAGAAACCTTAGCTTTTTTAAAAATTTGTGTGTCCATATTGTACTTTATGCTGTAGTTTCCTAGTTAGTAGCCATAACTTTCCCTGTGACATTCTTTTGTCATAGTGTTTAGCAGAGAATGGAGACATTTTAATCTTCAGTTCAGGATTCAGATTTCCAACAAAAGAATGAACTCAAAAGTGGTCTCTCTCCCGCTCTCCAAATGAATAGAAGCATTCAAGGAATAAGCAGAATCAATGACACCAATGAAAGGAACAGTGAATTCTTCATTGACATACTGAACTATTTAAAGTTATTTCATCAGGTTTGCATTTAGGAATGAATGGCTTTTTTTATTTCCTAAGAAAGAGTATTGACTACAGCAGTGAATAATGCACTCAATTACAGTCGTTACTATAAATGCTGAAATGAGATATTACTGTAGGCTTGACAAATATGGCATGTAGCAAAATGAGGTTTGTGGTGTAGCTTGTGACCAGTGAATAGCAAAAAGTTTTCAAAGCTCGGCTGTGTTCATTGTGTTACATTTAATTCTGAGGATTCTCGTGCTAAATCATTAACTTTTTGGAGGCAAAAAATAACTGGCTGGCTAGGAGCACAGTAGGTGTGAATGTATTGGAGGATATTCTAAAGCAGGTTCCCGGAACATAGCCCTGTAAAATGGTTTTTTGTACATATTTGGGGGTATTTCAGTTGTTTGATATATGTTCAGCCAGAAAAACAAGCGTGTGCTGTATTTTATAAATCCTTGGCTCTGCATCAGAATCTGTTGTAATTTTCTCATGGTAGCATATATTATTGCACTCCCAGTGGAAGGTTAGGCAGCCCTATTTAAAAGAATGCAATAATGCTAATCATATTGCTAGAAAAGTTGGCAGTTACTTGATATTTATAAATCTGTTGATATTCAGACCTTCCTGATAGAACAGTGCATCTGAGTAAGTAAACACTTAGCTAACAAGATTAGTTGTAATGTGTTGTAATTGAGACCGAGAAAATGACACTAATTGTTCATTTCTCTTACAACTTCTATTGTGCTTTACCAATCTCTGATGATCTTCGACTGTTCTGAAGTACATAGCGGGAATAATTACCCCTAGCTTTGGAAGAACACTCCGTATAGCTCTCAAATTTTACAGTATAAGTTTTAAATGTAGTGAAATTCTTGTTAGCTTACCACTTTTTTGGTACATGGCTAAAGGATGCCTCATTGTGTGTCTGGTGTTTTTTCTCCTGTGAATTTCATAGATGTATAGTATTCAGTGCTTTCTTGCCAATACTTAAATTTAAATTTTCCTAGTGCTAAGTAAATTTTACTGTGTTTTAAAACTGGTATTGATTTGAACATTTTCATGCATCTTTTAAAAACATGCCAATTAGCAACTGTCGTTTATTGTAGGTGCTACAAAATATATTAGAAACAGAAAATGAATATGCTAAGGAGCTACAAACAATGCTTTCAAACTACCTGCGACCATTACAAGCCAGTGAAAAGTATGTGAGTTTGTTTTGTTTTGTTTTTTAAATTTAAACTCAACTTCTCTTGTGTATTGGGGAGGGGTTTTTTGCATGGTCAAAATTTCAATGTCAATGTGCCTTTTCTTGTGTGGACTGAGAGATTCTTGAGGCAGGGCCTGCTTTTATCCAGTTTGCACACTGATTAAGGTGCAAACCTGGTTCTTGATCTAAGGACCAGTAAGCATTTTCTTTTAAGGTTGTAGGTTTTACTAAAGCACAATTAATCAATAGCTACAAACCTAAACACCTTTTATTTTCTTTGGCTCCAGGTTAAACTCAACGAATACTTCATACTTAATGGGAAACCTGGAAGAAATAAGTTCTTTCCAGCAAATGCTTGTACAGTCTTTAGAAGAATGCACCAAGTAAGTACTATACATCACAGATACTGTAAAATTCTAATAAGCAATTCTTTTTATTATTATTTTACTTGTTATGTATGCTGTTTGGCATAATTTTTGTTCCTCTCACTTTAAGCATAGTTGCTACAGCAGTACAGTAATAGATGTTTGGGTAATGCATTGATTGCTTTCGTAAATAAATATTGACCCCAGGATGCAATTGCAGAGGTAGGAATTTTGACGTAGTTTGAAAAAAATTTATAAATTTCCATGATGCAATTGCATACCAGTGGGGAGGTGATAGAGGAAGTGGTGCTTTTTTGTTTTGGAGGCATGAACTTTCAGTCTTTTCTTAAAGTAAGAGAGAGAATAAAGGAAGCTTACGTTGTGACAGAACAGCAGAGGACGGGTATGTGACTTGGATGAAGGACACTGTATCAGAATGCCATTGCTTAGTATTCTTCTGTCCTAAACAATGTTGACTGTCAAAATGTACTGGGAGAGGTATGCAGGATAGGCAAAAAGAGCAATCTGAATTAAAAACAAAATAAAAGTAAATAGCCTTAATGACTGTACTGTACCATATAGGAAGCGTGAAGCACAGAAAGAAGGGGATGAAGACACCTGTCCTCCTATAGGTTAGGCTGAAGTGATAGCTGGATATTTTTCTGCTTATACTTCAGCACTTGGTGGTCTACAAAAGAAGGTGACCATATTGCATTTGAATTGTTAAAACAGTTCTCTAGTGTTGAAACTCCACTGAAAGTGTAGTTCCCGATCCTAACTTCGGTTGTGTCCTTTTCCTTGCCTGTCTTCTGTTTTTGTCTGACCACATGGTGAGGCAAGGCAACTTGCATATCCAAATTTTCATGTTTTCTGCCAAGTTGGTAATTTGAATTGCTACTTGGGGCTTAGGCAAGCTTCAGTCTGCTGGGAGTATTTGGCTGTGGGAAGGAATGAGTGTCTTGGAGGAGAAAATGCCTCTTTTGGCAGCAGTGATCTTTATATCAGCTCAATTTGCTGTGTTTTGATTTCTTCCTCCACTTTTGTTCTATGTGAAGAGGAAGTTTTGTCATGACAAAGTATAAGCTGTGCCTCCACTAGGCAGTAATGTATCTCTGGGTCTGTTGCTGACTTTGGATCCCATGTCTTCCTACCACACGGTTTCTCTCCCTCTCTTCCGCCTCTAGAGGATTTAGACTGGAGCACCATGTAGTTCAGATGACTCTTCATCAGTGGAATGGAAACATTCTTGAAATGGCCTTTCTTCTACACTGTGTTTGAGAAAGAAGGATATTTTTTTTCTCGCAAGTTAGACTTGATCAGTTAAGTGTCTAAATCCCTGAGAATGACCATTTGGCCCCATAGTTAAATGCTTCCTGTCTTTTCTTGCTTGTCACTGTGCTTTGTTGTCTCATTCTTTTGTTACTGTGATTTTGTTTCTATGAGTCAGAAGTTAAGGAAATTAAGTACCTTGCATGAACAGACTGTCATCTTTTAAAGCTTTTGATTTGGATGGTCTTGAAGAGTAGAAGAGCATATCCATTTAAATATAATGCAAGCTTTGTTTTAACTTGGTATGTAGGTTAATGTGGTATCCTAATGTAGCTTCAAGCTCAGAAAGCTCATTTAGAACTAACTCAACTATTAGGGCACCTTCTCATAATGTCCTTTATTTCTTCTTCCTGCTAAGTGAAATTTTGCTGTGTAGTAAATTAGGAACATAATGGATGCTAGTAGGTGGGCAGAGGAAGTGATGCCCCAGGGTTACTGAAGGGTACTACAAATGTTTTGTGTTATTTTCATTTCATAAATATGCTGGTCATGCCAAGTTGTATTTTCAGTTTAATTTTCATCATAGCATATTGACTTGAGCGTCCAGCTTCCTCCTGTTTTGAATCTAATCTATCATAATTCTATCATGTAGAAGAATGCTTGCCCTGCTGCCTTGTTTTTTGTCATTTTGCCATGTTTTTTTGGCTGGTGAACCTGTTTTGTAAACTCGCAGTAGCTCCCGGGCTGAAAATAGATTTATCATTTTATTTTATTTTTGGCAGAGAGCTTACAGTTCCATCATTTGAGCTCTTCACTTGCAGCATCCGGTGTGGTGTTTTTTCTAACTTGACATGTCAGAATGACCAAATGCCAATGCCCTGCCAGTTGTTGTGGTGCCAGCCTACCTTGCTTGACAAATTCCTGTTCTTGGGTGTGAGAGTTCAATGTTTTTTTAATTCTACGCCCCCCTAGAGTCAGTTTGTCATTTGAGTTTTCTCTTAACAAATCCTGGTATATACTTCAGTGACAGAAACTGTCTGGTGCTCTTCTTCTTGCCTGGACCACTTTGGTTTATTTAATCCTCGTGTTGTTAAACATTGGGTTATGGATTTTTCAGAACACATAATCCTGTAGTAGGTGTGTTTTGGGGGAAGTAATTGTTTGGATGTGGCTTGGTTTTAGTTGTGTGCCACCCTCCTACCCTGCCCTCAGCCTTGGAGCTCTTCTGGTTCATTGCTAAAGGTTTGTCCTCTCTAAACTAGTCCAGGTTGGCCTCTTTTGTGGTGCTCCTGTGGGCTGCTCCATCTGTCACAGGCCTGGGAACACCACTTGTCTGCCTACCTTCATGCTGGGCACCTTTGGACAGATTCAATTGGAGTTACTTCTACCTTTGTGACTTATCTTCTTCATTTACCCAAGCGGCATATAAAACAAGTCTAACTAGCATTGAGTGAGAATCTTCTGGCTGATCCGTGTCAAAAGTGCTTTCTTTGACTGAGCAGCTGGAAGTGCATGTTGTTTTTCTGGATGGAAAAGAGCTGTAACTGACAAGGCAGAGGTGCTGATGGAGTCTTGAGTTGCAAAAGGTGGATTTCTGACAGTAAAAGAGCAAGAGCACTCTGGGCTCCTGAAGACAAAAAGTGGTCCGGTGCTCTGGGTCTCTTTCCAGATCTGTGATCCAGTGCCAAAGATAAGTTCTGCAGTGGTTTGCACAGCAAACGGTCCTCTGAATACACAAAGTCAGTGTCTGTCAAGTGATCACTTGGCTGATCTAAATGATCTCTGTTGGAAGTACTGCTCTTTGGGTATTTTCGTAGCAGCAGATTGAACAGATGCCTCCTGCTCCAAAAAAAAAAAATAAAAAATTCTTCATTCACCTGGGAATAGAAGTTGTCAGTCTACAGCTGTACTTCTCAGTAGGAGTTGGGGGACAACACACAGGCTGGCTGGTGAACACTAATCAGTGTTTTGGATTTGTTTTTGGAATGCAGGTACAAATTAAGTCTATGAAAGGTTTATCCTGGTATCATCCCTTGCTTTTAGTTATTGCGAGTATCAAGAGAAATAAGGTGATCAGGGTTAAGTGAATTCACAGTGTCTTCAGATAGCCTGAACAAGTTTGCCTGTTAACTGATATCTGAGAGGCAAGGCAAATGGACAAAAAGTGAAACGTATGGTTGTGAAGAGAGCACTGAAAATGAGACTGATGGGTTGCAAGTTGGATAGTGCCTCCTTTTGAGCAAACCTTTTGTAGCTCAGAAAGCTGAAAAGTGTCCCCCTTATTTCAGTAACCTTGTTAACTGTGAAGCCTCAGGAGATAACATCTAATCTTGTTTCCTCACAAACTGCACCCCTTGGAGTCATTAATCACAATTATCCCTTAATAATTTTTGCGTGTCTTCAGTTGTCTTGGGTCTTCTTTGCTATTAAGACATTGTCTGTACTGACCTCTGCAAATGTAGCAAACTTACCATTGATGCTCCAGCTCCTTAAAGAGACTGAGAGGGGGAAATTCTGCTGTTTGTCTTTTTATGGGAGGAGATGGGGAAGAGCAGAAAATGCCACCAGATAACTGAAAGTTTCCAGTTTGTGGCAGATTCTGCAGGTGTGTGTATATAAATATATGGGTTTTTTTTAATACACACACACATATACATAGGGACATAGATTGTTGCATGACACTATTATGTTAATCACACAGTAAAGTGAAAGTTAGGGATATTTGATCTTTTCCTTGCAAAAAATAAAACGTACAGTGCTGATTACACTTTATCTACTTTTCTTTTCAAATTGCCTCTGTTAGCCTGTGTTTAAATTTGTCTGTATTCATCACAGTTTCCACAGCCTTTCCCAGAACATTGTAATGTCCACTGACAACTAAACTAAGGCAGATCTCTTCAGAACTCACAGGACAGTAATTAGATATTCTGTAATGTCACTTCTTTCTGTCGTCTGCCAGTCTAGCTTTAGTCCAGTTCTGATCAGAATCTTAAACTAAGCGTGATTGAGCAATGAGGTATTTTCTTTCTTTTTTTCTCTCCAATTATCATGTAGTGGGAACCTGTTTTAAGTCTGGAGGAACAGAACCAGTAGCCATCGGATGTAATTCTACCAAGCAGATAATGCCTTAGGTAGTTTAGAGGTAGTTGTATGATGATGCCTCTAGCATGTGTACAACAGCAGAGGCTTTGCTATGGTTATCTTAATTTCATTTACAGAATCAAGACATGTCTTTGGCCTTTTTATAACTGAAGTTATCATTTCTATATACGTATAAATATAATATTTATACATTATTCCCTTTTAATTAAAATATCAAATATGAGAAGAATATTGGGATGACAGCTTTGGAATGAATTGCAAAATAACTATGCCCTTTATTGAACACGTTAATTACTCAAAGGTTTATATGATAAGGTGATAGGCATTAAAAATTGTTGGATTTTCAGCAGTTAAAGGAGATACAGATAATTTATTAATTGTTCCCCTAAAAATAGTAGAACACTTGCAACTAATGCATGGATTAGAAAAATCAAAGGGGATGAGTTCCCACCCCCTCGTAAAGTCTGTTAATTATTTTAATTCAGCACTGAATGTGCAGTATAAAGCTGCGATGCATGTGCAGTATGTGAAAGAGAATCCATGTCTTTCATTCTGATGAAAGACCAGCAGACTGAGGAGACACAGATGTCTGCTTGGTGGGAACAGCCATCAGTTGTCACTCTCTCCCACCCCCCCGACACTACAGTGTGCAGTGTATGGAATGTAACATTTTTCAGCAATTCTTTAAGGGGGCCTCTTACTATTTAATACTGAGTTATATATCCTTGCGTGTGCCTTCACAGTCTGAAACTTCTGCTGCATCTATTACTCGAAGAACATATTATTAGCTCATGCTTAGATTTATTAGAGGGGACCAGCTGCTAGGCAGGAAATGCTGCCTGGAGGGCTGTAAGAATAGCATTCCCTCGGTATGCCAGGGAATCCCCCTGGTTTTCCCCTAAATACCTGCAAAAGCAGCTACTCTATTGATTGCAGAATTTGAACTTTTCTTGAAAGAGAAATAAAGATGCAGAGAATAAAAGACGGGCCCTAGCCTTTATTGTAAGGAGTGCTGATAATGTGATCTGAGTGTATCTGGCATGATGCTGGGGATTCGGCTGTCATTTTCGGGGTTTCTATAATGAACATTGCCTTCAAACAAGGAAGCTTGTTTCCCCCACCTGGTGTTTTGAACACCTGTGTAGTCAATTTTGACTTCATATTGGGTAGGTCTTCTTACCTGCTATGGGTTTGGACAAGGCATCAGGGACAAGCTTGTAGTCTGGGCTGCTGAAAACTTACTGTCCTATCTTGCAGTTAACTTCAGTGTGGATTATACAATTGGCTGTTGGCCATATAACTACTGCTGAAGATACCCAGTCCTTCAAGTGGGAGTTGCTCTGTACAAAAGAATAGGGTTTTATCCCTTCTGGCACCCTTAGGATACTGTTCACTTGTTTGTCCAATTTATTATTTCTCATGTAGGATGCAATCCAGTATGGCTATTTTTGAGCGGTTCTGAGAATGGTGATATGGTTGTAGCGAGGCTGCTTATAGAGGATATACTTCCCATCAGTTTGTGCTTAACTTGAAATTATTTTAGATCTTAGAGGAGTATGAGTGTGCTTTTATTTGCATATGAAGTATGCGGCTTAAGGAGGTGCTAAGAATAAGACTGGAAGAGTTGCATTTTTCTTTTTTTCCCCTGCTTATGCGGACGCAAAATCAGAACTCAGACTTCTACTTTCTGCTGATTGTACCAGTTCTAAGCTGGTGCTGCACAGCTGATTTCAGATATTTATAATCCAGATATTTTCTTACTGCAGTTTGAGATGATAGATTCTGCTAAAACCTTTTGAAAAATGCGCTGTGTATATTTGTATTATCTTTGTAGCCTGTCCTCCCTTATTTATGTGAATGAATGTGTGTATACTCCTCTGACAAACCTGATCAAAACCAATTCGGTTCACCAAGGCTGTGTGAAAGTAAGCTTTTCTTCTAATTACTGTTTCTCTTGCTGAGTCATCTTTTTGTTACATACTCACTGAGGCTGCTGTTATTTAAGCACCATTTTATGCTAGACAAAATAAGCCCTTCTGAACAGAATTGTGACGTTTTCCTTCACTGTTCAGCAAATGTGGTGCATTCGAGCATGAAAGATGAAGAAAGTGTGAGTTATAGAAAGTATTTGTGTACTGATGGTGGTAAAGCAGCACTCTTGCCCTGGTTACAAACCAACATAAAAGTGCTTTATGGCCCTTAAAAAGCAAGATGAGTAACAATAGTGTAAAACCATCCTGTTACTGCACTGTAACTGGCTTCGGAGCTTAATATGGTACTTAGATCTTTTAATGAATATTTTAAGCCTATCATCTCTGCTGCTGTATGGTGGAGGGAGAGAGTCCTGTTGTCACTCCATCCAGTTTTTATCTAAGTGCTGAAAATGCTACTTGTAAGATTTGGTGTGGTATATGTGAGCAGATAGTAAACTGTTGTCGCTGAAAGGTATGTTGACTAAAACTCAAACTGCTAAAGAAGGTGCTAATTACCACTAATTCTTGAAAAAAAATTGCTGAATGACTGTCCTACAGGTATGTACCATATTCTGCCTATACTGCGTGGTGGTATAATCAGGCCTGACAGTTACAGGGTTGAATCTGTAAAGAAGGAAGCGAGAGCCATTGGTTGCCTGCCATTGACCGTAGATTTCTATCTGTTGATTTTACAAAAACAAAATACATGATAAAAAAAAAAAAACCAACCCCGATACACACTATTTTTCTAGGCTTTATTTCTATATCAGTAGTACAGAAATTTCATTTTATTACTCTGTTTTTAGGTTGCCTGAAACTCAGCAGAGGGTTGGAGGATGTTTTCTAAATTTGATGCCACAAATGAAAAGCTTATACCTTGCATACTGTGCCAACCATCCATCAGCAGTAAATGTTCTCACAGAACACAGGTATGTTTGCTTTGCGGTCTTTTAAGTCTGATACAAAAAAAAAGGTGCATAAAATACACTTGTGTTGTAAACCTGTGATGTCTCTTTTGACATGTGTTTGGTATGATAGTGCTTGTTTAAGGAAAAAAAAGTAGTAGTGTATCTAGAAAAAAAAAGAACAAAAAATCCCCCAACACAAGGCTGTTCTGTGTGATCAGGACCAGCTTGTCACTTTTGGCAGTGTGCTATCAACTATTTGAGAACATTTTCTCATTTAAAGAACACATGCTGAACTCCAAGTATGTAAAACAAAGTGTACTGATTGTCATATTTGTTTAAAGAAAAATGTCACTGAAGTTTGAGGAATTATGGCATAATTGATATGATTACTAGTAGGCAGTTGGTGAATTGTAACTTGGCCCTGTAAAAGCCTGCATATTTGTATGTACTTAACTTTATGATGGTACACCCTTAGCTTTACTTTTGAGTGATAAGAAGTAGGATGCTGAATTAACATGATGGATGTTGCTGTGTTGTGGGACTAACCTTGCATTTGCATAGAAGATGCCCTGTATCACCTTGAGGGAAGAAAAGTTGAAGCCAGAACTTGATTAAAGAAGTCTGCTTTCACAAACTTATTCTATGTATTCTCTTGATGATCTTGTGCTGCAGCAGCTTTTAGTATGGAGCTATTTATGTTTGCTTGTGGTGCAGGACAGAACCATGAACTTCTTTTGAAGGTTAGACATAGGACAAATTCTAGCAGAATATCTATTCTATTTGCCTTTTTTCCCCACCTTTTTTTGTCGTCTTGTGATGGACCAAAGTAAAGATATTTTGAGTATTCTTAACTCTTTCTAAACAAAGAGGAGCATAATTGCCTTGTTTTCTGTAGTGGTAGCTGCTTCCAAGAATGTTGCTGTTAAGTTTTAATAGCAACATTATGTGGCACATTTGTGAACTTTACTCATAACAGGATAAATAACAAAAATCTTCCTACTACCAAATACTATGAACTATCACTTATGTTAGTAAGACACGTCACTATGTTCCAACCTCACTATGGAAAATCAAGCTGCAAATTCACACTGTAGGATAGGCAGAAAGAAGGCATGTTTTTGTCAGAAGCAATGATGAATTCAAATTAAACAAAACAAAATATGTTTAAAAAAACCCCTGGTGATACCCTTTAGTGTTTGTTTTGCTTTAAATGCCCTACTTCTAGTACCATTTTCTGTAAGTGCTAAAATATTTATTTGTTGGCTAAGAAGGCCAACAGCATCCTGGCCTGTATCAGGAACAGCACGGTGAGTAGGACTTGGGAGGTGATCATCCTACTCTACTCAGCACTGGTGAGGCCCCACCTTGAGTGCTGTGTCCAGTTTTGGGCCCCTTACCACAAAAAAGACATTGGGGTGCTGGAGCAGGTCCAGAGGAGGGCAATGAATTCATTCAGAGGTCTGGGATTTAATTTATAGGTGGAAGATGTAAGTGATAGCAAAGTGATCACTTACATTTCTTAAGATTTGGAGGTGTTTGTAACAAATTATCCTAACTTTCAGAACGCTTGGAAAGCACAGGGAATAGCCATGTCTGAGAAACTGTGGTAGAAATGCAAGGGAAGAAGGGTGTTTGTTCTGCAAATGAAGAAGAGGAGCGTTTCTTCTCCTCTGTGTTGCTTTGTGCATAGGTTGTCCAAAGAAAAATTCAGCTTCTGGGTCAGTAAAGTCAGCTTGATATCAAATCCTGGTGGAGTCAATATAAATATCATAGAGGAGCTAAGTGATTTGGATGTGGAAGTAGGTTCCAAGCAGTAACGTTGTTCATAAGAGATAGCTCAAGGTGAGGTAAGTTGTTTAATCCCGTTGTATTCACAGGCACGAGGCAACAAAAGTGAATGCTTTTTTCTTTAATTACCCCTATTTTGTTATTCTAAGCCCTTCATTTTCATTGAACATCATTGCTGTAGGTAGCAAGTGGCTTGACTAAAAATTCTGCTTGAGACAGCTGCCATGAAGAAATCAGAGAGTGGCTTTAAGCAGTTCTAAACCTTTTCCTCTTAAAATGCCAGAAAGCTTTTAATTACATTGCTTTAAAGGTAGGGGGAAAAGACCTTTTTTTTTTCCTGAGAAAAATAAACTGATTGAAGGTATGAAGAAAAGGAAAATACTCCTAACTGTCTCCTTGTCTATCTAGTTGAGATGTTTTTATTGCGTAAAAGCATCTCTAGTAAACCCTAATGTAAAACTTACTGTGAGGTTAGAGGATAGTCATGGTTGTAATAATAATGAAACAACTACACTGCAGTGAGTGCTAGATTAATGTTGAATTGGAATTTTTCAGATATGTCTAAGACTGAGGTTTAAGACTTTTAAAAAACCAGTACTGATTCTTGTTAGCTGTTTTTGTGGAGAGTCTGTCAAGCTAGAGTTTGCTAGTTTTAGCAGAGTCCAAAAGCATTAATTTTAATACCAGCAGAAATATGGTAGAGAAATAGATGTTTGCTGAATTCCTGGGTTTGACTATCATGTTTGTAACAGCTGTGCTATTCAGTAGCTTTTTAGAGAGAAGAAGAAAGAGCAGTCTGGAGTGGTTTGATTTGGAACATAAATTCTTACTGTCTACAGCAGATTATTTCTTGCCTTGAACTCTGCACACTTCATAAACTGAACGCATATGCATTAACTGTGCTTCTGAAAGCTTTTCTACAAAAAAGCCTAGCTGATAATTTTAAGTCAGATTCTTATTACAGAAAATTACTATTACAGAAGAAAAGCTATTTTCTGCAGTTTATTAAGTTTACTTGCTTTTGATGGGGATCATATCAACAAAAATGAAACAAAAAAAAATTCCTAGATAATTGCTCTGAGGGAAACTTCAGAAACTTTACCTCCACTTCGTTTTTTATATTTTATAAAGTATACTAGTTTTATTATTTTACTGTCACTGACTAAAAACAGCTTAAAGGAAAATGGCTGTCATTTTGAGGCATTCACCATATTGCTTCTTTTACCCATTGGATCACTGTAACATCAAAATTGTAAGCAGTCGTCTAGTTTGGAATGTTACACTTTCAGGTTTTTAGCTTAATTTTCTGAAGTATCAAGCATGCTCTTTGAGCAGTGTTGTAACACCTGTTAAAATGTTGCTGACACCTGGTAAAGAAGCTCTGTGTGTGTGTGTGTGTATATATATGTATAGATAAAACCTGATGATGTTAACTTAGAATTATTTTGGACTTCTGGTCAAAAGCTTCTTTTTTGAATAGCATTTTTGTGAAGTTGATTCTAAATAGCAGTACTTGGGGCAGGGCTGGACATTTAAGAGGCATTCAATTGGAATGTGACTTTTCTTTTTTTCTTTTAAATGCCATTCAGTATGAATGCTAGCCTGTGTTTTCTTTCTTGTCTTTGTTACATGCTTCTTGATCATATGTAACAGCAAGATGGCGGCTTTTATTCAATTAGTACAAAATAAAAGGGGTTGTGCATATGTGTTCATATATATGCGTGTTTATATAAATACACAGTAAGAGTGAATGGCTTAGGTATATTATTTAATAATAAAAGATTTTTCATGTTCAAATCTTCAAAGCTGCAAACATCTTTTATTTCCTTCAGTTAATTATTAATATTGAAATTAATATCATTAGAGATCTGTGCGTATGTAAATATGTAGAAATGGGAATAAAACCTAATGCAGCCCCAAAAGGCATTCAGGTTCCAGAGCTGCATGTTTCTGAGGTTGTATTTACCTCTGATAACCACTACCACGACAACAAAAAATCTTTCTATTAAGTTTGGGAACAGGTTCTTTTCTTGGTTCTAGATGTAGCACTGTAGGTTCTATTCAGGTGTTAAGAGTTGGTACTAAACATAATTTCTCCAGAGTTTGGTAGGAACTTTTTGTCTCAGGAATTGTTTCAGAGCCATTGCGTTATTTTTTCCAGAATTAGAATTCATTCTGTGTAATAAATCAAGAGCCTTTACGAATTAAGTAATTTTTCCTTAGGTGTGTCATTATGTCTTGTGTGTCATAAGCCACTGGCTAGAGCTGAAGATGTGGAACTTGCCAGATACAGCTGGGTGGTGGCTCCTGCAGAGATCAGTGGTTTGCATGTTCCCACCACTGCCTCTTGGCTTGTTCTCCTTACTCCCTTCTCTCGTGGTGGCTGTACTGCTGCTGTACGTGATCCCCAATTTATTTACTTCATCCCGGAACAGTCAGACCTCTTCAGCTACATCATATGAGGTTCCAGTTTCTAATAACCCTTACTTGAGAATCCCAGTTCAAGTCCAAGGGCAGGTGATCCAATACAAGAGCACGGTGTTATTTGTGGAGAGAGTTTTGCTGGCTGGGGAGAGCAGGACTGCCTCGAGGGCGTGGTGTTTAGTCAAAGTAGCATTGATTGCTGTGTTCTGATCATAGACATATGGTTGCTTCCCACTAAGAGAAGAAACAGGATGAGCAACCTTAAGGCATGAGAGAATGAATTTCCCTCAGAAATTAAAAAACCCAGTTGGATGCAAAGTACAGAACTGGAGAGTTGCAGTGGAGTAAGGAGTCCCAGGAATATGGTATGTTACCTACCTGGGGAAGATCACAAGCCACAAAATTGAGTGCAAGGGGAAACTCCAGAAAAGAAAACGAAGAGGCAGAAGCTAGGACTGGGATTTTAAGTGGACTGCATCCCAGATGACAAGAGGAAAGATATTTGAGTATGGAACTCACTGAAGGGTGGATAATGCAGTGAAAATAAAGTCTAACAGACCCCACTGATCAGTGGTCTTAAAAGTCTTCTGAAGACATATGGAGAGTGCAGATAGAATGTCAGCATCAAGTATGTTATGTATGAGGGGGTGAGTATATGCTTTTTTACTTTGTTTAAACAGCACCATGTTTATTTTAAAACAAAATGGAGGAAAAATGGTTCCAAAAGAAAATTTAAATTGATGAAAAGGCAGCCAAAAATTAGTAATATATGCCTACTTCTTAAAATTTTGCAAAGTGGCAAGTGTCGA